TTTATTGCTGTTTCATTTTTAGTTTTGATTTCTTTTTTCCATCCTTCAAACATGGGAAAACGACTTTGGTTGACAGTTCTATGTACTCATTGCATAGTAGGATGGGAGGAGAACGTGTGAAAATGATGAAAGAAATAACACGAGTAGAATAATTTAGCAAAGATCGTTCAGGCTACACTATATGTCGGGCTAAGTGATAGTCACCATGCATTGATTTGATGAAAATTAGTGAATGGTAGAGGTATTTTTTTCGTTCCAAATATCTCGATTAGAAAGTAGATTAGCAAGTTTAGAATAGTTTTGGTTCCATTTTAGTCCATTCTAATTTATCCTATTTTTAGTGGGTCCTCTGGACACTATCATCATGCGTCGAACACCCATACTGTACAGTCAACGGTTATCAAGCTGGGAACACCAAGTTCGCGACGCAATGATACAAATTCATTCAACGAATTGTCATCTACATGTGGTACCCATGACAGCTTATCAGGTGCCTCTCAGGGCATTATGGATTTGTTGCACTGTTTTATTTTTACTGCATAGTATATCGAGGAATTCCGTTGACTTTCTCTTTTTATTTGAAGTAATAAATGATTCAAATATATAAACATATGATTTTTTAAGGCATATATGTGTCCAATTTGCCATCTTCGCGTACGGAAGGTTTTCTAAGAGATGGCTTGACGAATTTTTTTAAGAAATTTGGCAAAGTAGTTCATATCATGTTTGAGACGGAATCTGGTCCAAATTTTGTGGAACAGCGTCGAGCACTCGTTATTTTCCAGAGGTATATTTTCAGAACTTTATGTGCGATTATTAAGAACGTTGACGTGTTGGTCTTTGTCAAATTTTTTCGGATTTCATGACGATTAAAATATTTGTGTGGACAGTAGGAATGGGATTAGACTGAAAGATTCTTTTGCACGTTATGTATGGGCGTACCATATTGTATCAGGTGTTATAAAAAAAGAAATTTATCATGTATTGATGTAGTGGTGGAATTTGGATCGATTATTACACTTTAAGTAGAATATTAAACGTAACATAATCCGGAAATTCTACTATTTAGCTGCTACGCATAAATCCGTTACTTGACACTTCACTTGTATGTAATTAGTTTCACATGCAGGTTTTTTGACTGAAGTTTTTGACAGTGATATTTTCCAAGTTCGGTGAACTTGCAGGCTGATGGATGCTGACAAACTCAAGGACAACCATCATATGTTTGGATTGCGGCTGAAAATAAGATTTGCGAGTCACGCTACCGTTACGGAAGCCTACAGCACATATCTGGTAACAAATGGGCAGGTAAATACATTGAAACAAGCAAAGCCAATTCACTTCCTCCACTGCAGTATGACTGCCTGAACTTTGCAGTATCAAAGATTTCCTACAGTGATTTTCGAATTCGCAAAATTGGGACCTCGAGTTTTGAGTTCTCTCCAAAGGATTTAGATTAGGTAGCAGCAAAACTCTGCTTTTGAAATGCGTTTTCCATGAGATTTTTTCAAGAAAATTTCTGGGATTTAGAAGTGACAGCTGAACCATTAATCACCATTGTTAGTCTCTTTAATTCGAAGAAGTGTAGGCTTGCACACGGTTACAGGAATGCTTATCATCTCAAGATACTGCTTCAACATCGAGTTCTTCAGCGGTCGATGCGCTTGCTAATCGAGCTTCTCGAACTCTCTATGTCGGCGGCTTAGAAAGACGGACAACTGATGATTCTCTTCGCTCTCGTTTTAGTTGTTTTGGGCATATCCTGGAAACAGGTTATTTTTGCATATTTTGAGTATAATATAATGACGAAGTTTAATCTTTAACATCGTAATTCGCATTATCGCTTTGACTGGTAAATGTGTGATAACTAACGGTGTTTATAAAGATATATGATAGGTTACAGGGTAAAATTTACCTCGGCTGGTTGATAGCTTTTTTTTTTACTTTTGTCATTGTGTGTCGCGATGAATATGCTTCATTGATTGTCTTTATCTACTTAATAAGAGTATTGCTATAAAGATCGAAATTAATGGGTTTAAATTTAGAAGTGAAGAATTGGGAAAGTCCATCACCGTTTGCTTTCATCCAATTTGCTGATATTCAATCGGTTGTCTGTGCAATAAATGCGTATGCTCAGTCGACACATTCATCCGGTGGTAAAGGCAAATTAAAGGTAATTGTTGTACACATTTATTAATAGGTTCATGTTTTAATTTCTGTCCTAAACATAACTTTTGCTGCTCAAAATGGATTAATACACGCACGATTACAACATTGACACTTTTCCATCCGAATGTTGATGCTTGCCTCTTTTCACCAATTTTGGTTGTGATATTTAACAGGTGACTCAGACTGATCTGGAATAACTTGCTTAATGCGCATAATCGGATGTATTGACCGATAAGTTAGAATAACGCAGATGGAAAGCAAAATGAATTGGAGATATCGGTGATAAAAATTGTCAGGAATCCTTGATGAGTATTACGATTTACCAGTAACTTTTTTTTCTTCAGATGAACTGGGGTCGTACAATTGTTAGTAACAAGATTTGGATTGGAGAGTTGCCGTCAAGCTGTTCGGCAGATTATTTGCGTGAAAAAATTCGAGTATCGTTCACAGATACATTCAATGAGGTCATATATGACCCGCGTCATCGGGAAGCCCTTCTTTATTCAGCAACAATGACAGTGCCCAGAAAGCATTTTCAATGATTAAAACAAAGCAGGTGTACGTACTTTATTGTGGAAATCTTTTGGTTTTTACTATTGTTGAAGTGATCAGGACTTCATGGTATGAAGGATTAGGTATATGTTAAAATGTATCCTCTGTAAAAAAATTTGAAATAATTTATGGAAAAAAGAGTTTTTCAGAGCTTTTTGGAATGCAGACGAAAAAAAAGATGTTCACGTGCCAGTAGATTATTGTTCAGAAAAACTACATGATTATTTCGTTGATCGGAAATTCCGTGGTGAATCTGGAAATGCTCGTAAGTTTTTTGGAATACAGAACCATTGGTTTTGCTAAAAACAAAGTCGTAAAATTTTTTGGAAAGTATTAAAAAATTTTTATAGTTGTGAATGGTAATGGGCCAGGTTCATGTACTGGTAACAGCACACTAGCCTGTTCTAGTGGTGGATTAGCGATCGCATCTACATCTGCTTCATCGTTACTTGCACCGCCTCCCGATCCACCAAGTCATCTTCGTGACACATCCTCGCGGTTTGATCATTTATTTTGGTTTATTACTCTTTCGTATTACTAGGACTGTTTGATTATTGAGCACCTCGTCTTGTATCAACTGCATGTTCAACATATGACGTCATTTTCCATGCGGATATTGGTGTCATTTATTCATTCTTGACCAGTTCTTAGGATCAAGGGAGACGGTGGCTTTTTCCCTTGATTATTTCCTGCTATGTTATCGCATTTTCTGCTTATCAAATTTCATGTGGATTTTAATTCTGCCCTATTAGGCTCATAGTCATACTTCAGTTCATCTTCATCAGCTTTCTTCCCACTATGTTCTTAACGTAAACTTCCACCTGTTATGATAGTTCATTTCATAATTTTTTAAGGACCGACGGTCGGAGGTCGAGTTCGAGTATGGCGTCGCGGAGACGAAGAAGTGATGAACGAGAGGGCTGTAGAACTTCATCTCGTTCTTTGCGATATTCATCCTATAATAGGTGCGTGTTTTCTCTTAAATTTTAGTTTTCTTAGCACAAATTTTTGATAAACTGAGGTTCCAAATAATGTCCGAGCAAGTATTGATTCTCCCATTATAGATCTCGACGACGACGTGAGAGAGCTAGGCGGAATGATGTGTCTCCTTCGTCATCATCAACCTCCTCAACATCTAGTGATTCTGATTTAAGTAGTTCCAGTACGCCGGATAGGAAACGTACAGGCACTGGTCATTCAAAGACTAACATTCAACGTTTGCATAAAGATAAGGTCAAACATAATTGTAGTCTAATATAGGTGCTGGCATGTAAACTATAGTTGGATATGGCGGGGATATTGATTTCATATACCATTTCTCCACGGTGTTTTTATGGAATTTTGAATTATTGTCATTTCTCTTTCCTATCGAATTATTTGTTTATTCTCGATAATATTTCAGACTCCAGTATGTCCTTCCAGTTCACGACAGCCTAATTCTCCTTCGAGTGGCAAGCCTGATCGGAATTTTGAGCGATCTAACAGTATCACTGGAATCACGCTGCAGACTGTTGCAAATCGTAGCAGCTCAAGAGCAAGCTTAGCGCAGCTGCTTCCACCTCCCATGCCATCGGCACCAATTTTGAATCCCGTTATGATATCAACACCAAACGAAATGATACAGCAACAAGAATATCATCATTCATCTATGTCATCGACAAGTTTGTCAGTTGATAGTGGACTACCGTATGGAGCAAATGGAAAATCCACGGCAGAACAACGAAATAGGAAAGCGGAGCAACAGCAGACGTAAGCCATTTCATTGGGTCATCGAGAGTATCTACTCTTTCAATGCAGCGTTGTAAATAAGAATGAAGAATGTTTTTGCTTCATGTTTTTCGTATGTTACCATCTTCTAAGGAAATTCTTTACTAGATCGAAGTAGACCGCATACAATGTAACATTTATGGTCACAAGATATAAGTTTTAATAGGCATAGGGTCTTCCATTACCCATTACATTCATGGCGAACTTAGAGGGAACAAAGGTATACACTAGGTTGTACTTTTAATTTGATTTGCTTCAAATTAGATGATATTCTTGAGTTATCATTCTCTACGTCCTAGTGTTGCAAAACTTTTCTTGTCCAGTGCTAGTTAAATAACTTTCTATGTTTCTTTATATGAAACTTATCAGACTTTCAGCGATGCCAAGCGATTAGACAACAAAGGATCACATGTCAGTGGGCTTTATAATCCTGCAATGCAAGGGAATTTTACTGCAAACGAATTAAGTGCAATAACGGTATGGCACTTGCATACTGTTGAAGTTGAACTTGACAGAATGTCGTATCGGAATTGATAGGTCATTGAACATGAGCGTGGAGGAGGCAAGCTCTGAGATTTTTTAGAAAATATATTTCATTAAATCTCTTCATATATGATCTTCATTAGTTTATATTGTTTCAATGTTACATCTGCATTCCGGAGGCAGAATTCCTGACATACTAAAGTTAGTATGATATGAAATATCACTTTTCAGTCAAATCGAATTGAAGAAATTGCCAACACTTTGGTGAATGTGCTGCAACATCATTCCAAGGCATCTACGTCAACGACAGCGAGTGCTCCATTGGCTGTAATGAGTGGGACTCATCAGAACCATTCGTCCACTTGTTCAACCCAGCGATCTGCTGACGATTTCTGCGACAGTAGCAGGCATCATTCCAGTAGATTGTCTGCCTCTTTTGCTAAACGGACGAAGTGGCCATGGGGTGTGTTATTTATACCCTACCATGTATTGGTTCTGCATAAATTTCTGGAATAAAAACAGAGTCGTGCATGTCTCGGATGTTTATTTCCAGGATTGTTAGAATTGAGGCAGTGGGAAGCAGAAATATGCGGAGCTAAATAGATAAAATGAAAACAGGACAACCAGATATCTGGGTGGCTTTGTGGTTTATGAATATCCTATTTTTTGACGAAGGATTGGAAACAAAAATACATTGCGTTGATAATATAAATTGGGAAATGACTTTAAGTAGGGATGTATTTTTTAACCGTCTAGAAGTATTCGATATTTTGTATTTGGAGATGTCACTTTTAATTTCAGGGAATGATCCGATCAAAAATCACTGTGCAATTCCTTTGGATGGAAGCGCTAATCGTAGTAGAGATCCGCGGTACCGGAAATATTCGCCACAAACTTCCACCGTCTTACCGTTGCCTAAATTTGTGCATGAACGTCGTTCTACGCCAAGCTCATGTCGGAGTAGCGTACCAGATCCATTCCGATCCCCACAACAGCAGAAGCAGGATTCAAGATGCCTAAGGAATTCTTTACCAGCTTCAAGTTCCAGTCTTGCTGGTTAGTCATGTGCTTCGCTTTTATTTTTCTGCGGTGAAGTTAGATTTTGTGAAATATAATGGCGTTTATTGAAATTTATGTTTGTACAGTCTTTTGAAAGTAAGCACATTACTTTTCCCTCCCCCCCCCCCTTCCCCTTCTCAGATTGTTACTACGATTGGCAAATCGGGAAGTAGTTAACTGGCAAGAACCAATAACCAACAGTTCGGGCGACCAAGTCCACAAGCGATGAGTAGTTTGACACGGTTGTGGTGTTGAACTTTTAATTGTATCTACTATGTAGAATGATGTCGTCATAAGAGAAGTGAGGCTACGTTGGTTATGACAATATTAAGAGAAATCTAGTACTGTATGGTCCGCAAAGGTTCGTAATTTATATTTAGCATTAAATTCATTGAATGCTATCGCAGGATGTAGTTTGAAGTGGAGTGCTGCAGAAAATTCACCTCCACAGAAAGCGACCAGGGGACGAACACATTCGTCGGTGTCAAGATCTGAATCAAGCAACAGTGAGGCGATGCTTTCGCCTGATCCTTCAAACTCAACTACACAAACTTCATTGGTGACAGGTACCATAGATATTTTCGGGGATACTTCGCCTTCCAACAACTCGAGTGCTTATCGTGAACGACTTGATGCATTGGGAGCTACTTTTCAAAATATCGAGCAGAAATTTCAGGTCAATTTTATCGAATCATTGAAGTACTTATTCAAATTAACAGGTCAGAAAAATAGAATTCGAACAAATTTTTCACTTCGTAGCATCCTTAACTATTGATGGCGTTAATTTCCTTGTAATATTTGCTGTTTTCTAGATTTTGCTCAAGAGTCGTTTTACGTGATGAATCCAGTGGTTTATTTTCGTCCATAATTTTCAGCAGCTGATATTTTCCAATAAGCTGCATGTTTTTAACATCAAAAAATTGCCCATAAATTCTTTAGAGCCGTGAATTCTGTTAGGTGCAACATCTCCTGGAATCACAGTCGTCATCTGTTTTATCACGAGCTTCATTTTTTTCTCTTTTTTTTTGCAATTCTGGTGTTTTTAGAAAACAAAACAGAACACCCATCTGGAATATGATCGTAAAGGACCATTACAACGCAGTTATAAGTTCGAAGAAGAACTGGAACGACTGAAAGCGCGAACTGGATCGTCCAGTTCAACAGTAACCACTTCGCAGTCAGTAACAACAACTTGTTCTACGACTTGTTCTCATCCCACATCCAACACGTTCACGGATTCTTTCACGAGAGTACGAAGTGGATGTGGTACTACATCGGTTTTCGATTCGAAGGATACGGAAAGTCAGAAGCTGATTCGTACTCCACTTTCGATCTCCATTCCAATGCCACCTGCTCCCTTAGCTTCCACTAGTTCAAGTCCCTATACAACAGTTTTTTATACCACATGTATCAGTTCGTCCAGTCTTTCATCACCACAATTTTCCGGTACTCAAATCAAAAAGCCTATTCCATCATCGAACATTACACAGAGCAGTAATCAGACACCGTCATCGACAGCTGCTCGTATTGCTTATCCTCCAGACTTTAGTGTTCCACCTCCACCGCTTCCGCAACCTCCGGTACCTCCGACATTGTCTTTGACGGCGTACAAATCTGCAGCAACCGGCACGTCTCTGATCTCAGCTCCACCTCCGCCGCCTCCGCTGGTCTGTTACGTTTTTGTATTCACTGATCTTGTAATTTCCACAACAAAATTTCCGAATCAAATCTAACTAGACAAATTAGAATAAGGTACTACAAGAAGCTCAGTGACATCACGAGAAATATCCCATTTTCAATTCAACCCATACTTTTATAAATCGCTGAGATTATTTCACCTGTAGATCCACACAGGCTTTGGGACTCGCATTGTATGTGACGTTCACAGTTACATCACTGAAGACGTTATACATTGGTTGGTTAAGCGTTATAGGACTGATAAAATTTCTATGGGGGAAATTCATGTACATGAATGGATGGATTCTGAAAATAAACATCGCATTCACCGGAAAAAATTTCTAGTTTCAGACCAGTAATAACAGCACTTCCTATTTACTCGATCCGACATCGTCGTGCTTGACCACATCGCTTCAGTCACTGACACGTAGCGCTGTTCCCCAAAGCGGTGTGCAGTCTTCATCCTGGAGGACTGCAGCAAAACCGTCTACTCCTCCACCTCCTGCGTCACATTCCAGTGTTAGTTCGAAGCAAACCTCAGTCTCATCTGTATCTAGCACTCCAAAACCGTCAACATCAGGTTCAGCTTCCGGTGGTGCTGTGTTAGAGATGGATAAAATGCGGTCACGAACTCAAGGAACTGAGAAGGTTTGTTCTTCGTTATTTTAAGCATATTTGCCATTTCATGTAGCCGTAAATTTAGAAATTTCTTCACAATCTGCTGGGTGTAAGTAGTGATTGCTTCAATTTTTGTTTTTCAATTCAAGGTGCAGATGCGAGAGAAAGAGCATTTGAAGATCGGTTCGAAGTCGCACTTGCCTGAGAAAAAGGTATCAAAGGACTTAGCGAACAAGCAACCTTCACTAAGTGAATTATTCCGGCAACAGGTAGGATTATTTTCAGAGGCTGCCAAATGCTTGTCATTAGTAATTTTCGATTCTTTCCTAAGTGATTGTAAGGTCGGCAGCACTGCGTTAAAAGCATCTGATTTCATATTTTTTAATGAGATGTACTGGTTATGGGTTGACCAATTTTTCGCTTCATTACGGATATAGTGTCCTCACTCTTCTCCAGTTAGAGTAAGATTTTATACACTTATTTGTTATATATCTTTGTTTACTATAGGCGCAGGATTCGTCAGAAGTTTTAAAAAAGCAGTTGAAGAAAGTCAAAAAAGAGAAAAGCGATGAACCATCACACCACAGATCAAATGACGAAAGCAAAAAAGGAATAACTGAAAGTACGAAAGGAAAACATTCCAAGGAAAATGAGAAAAAGGTATTTTTTGATTTTCCACTATAGCTGCTCTTAAATTTTTTGCTAGTAAGGCAGCTGGGTATGGTAACGTCGAAATATGTCTTAATTTGGATTTTGCTTGATACGGTATTTTTAAAACCCTATTTGATGTATGGTACATATAGATACCCTGGTGTGGTTCAAAGCATCGATATTAGGAAAATAAGTCTGTGTTTATGTCGTCAGCAGTATCAATTTTTGGCAAAGGGTATTATAAGCTAAGGTGATACTCCTCACATACTACACTGAATTGTGATGTTAGCACTTGAAAGTTTTCGTATGTCCATAACGGACATGTACGACACTGGTCAAAAGAGTCACCGCATGAAGATTACATGAAGATGTAAGGCGTATCTAGTTTAAGTAATTTATACTATTTATAGTTACCGGAAAAATCAGATCAAAATGTAGCTGAGAAAGAGAAAGATAAACATGCTGATGGGAAAGGCCAGTCACAGGAAGCGAAGCTGAAAACCGCAAATCAGAAGCAACTTAAAGAAAAAAAGAGAAGGAATTGGTTTGTTATTTCCGGCTTCTCATATTAGCACATTTAAAAACCTGGACGTGGATTTTCTCATTTTCACTTTCGCATTCACGGAAAAGATTCCTGAATAAAGTCCAGAATCAAGATTTGGTTCCAGAGGGAGAAGGACAAGGAACACGAAGGGGGAGAGCCTGCGTCGGAAAGGAAAAAAACGCAACGACCAATGGAGAAAAGTATAAAAAACAAATCGGTGAAGGATGGTGGTGGTATTAAACAGAAGGAAAAGGTCAAAGAAAAGGAACAGCTGCAGAAATATCGCTCAAAAAAGAGGGTATTTTTTAAATTTTAATGTAGAAGTAGGTAACCTGGAATTTTCCATGAAGAAGCATTAGAGGATCTATATAATAAATACTGTTACTCACAATGCAAAATGTTTTTTTCCAAACTAAATTTTTTTTGTGATGGATCACTAAGTTAATATTTCCAATTTTAACTTTTTTGTTGCAGCAAGAGGAAGAAAGATGTAAGCAGAAGGAAAAAGAAAAGGAGCAGAGAAAGAAGGAACTGACTAAAAAGAGGAAGCGAAAAAGGGAATCGAGTACAAGTTCGAGCGAGGAAGCATCATCATCGGAAGTGGAACTCCATGTAAGTAGCAGCTAATCGCTTGATTTGTTTTAAACTGTATTTAAGTCTGATTAACCTAACCACTAATTATCATGTTTGGCAGGAATTTAATTGTGATTAGGTTAATTTTCCAGTCATTCGACCGAGAATTGAAACGATTGTTCATGGAGGAAGAGGCTTCCGGCTCACTAGGTTTGTCGATGTACGATCGAGTCAAGCAGCGCTCATCCTCGAAACCAGACGATGCAGCCAGGAAGAATCGGGCGTTGGAGTTGTTGCAGGAAAGGACACAGAACCGTCGAAATAATGAACAAGTATGATACGAAATTGAGCTTTTAATTTTAAAATTGAATTCGTTGTCTATGGACTTGAACAAGTTGTTTATGATTCTTTGCGTTGTTATAAATGATGTTTATCTTAGTTTTTCCTAGAATCGACCAAAGCGAGTGCAACTAGAGAGTTCATCATCTGATGAAAAGAAAGGTTCGTCAAACGATGACGAATCCGATAATTCGTCAGGTCCTTCAATAGACACATCTAAAGCTCGTAAAAAGAAAAAGAAAACGGAACCGAAAGGTAAAGCGGCGAAAAAAGCGAAGTCGCTTCCACAAAAGAAGTTACGTGCTGACGACGAAACCGAGTATAATGATGATGGTGATAATAATGGTAATGATGATGATGATGACGATGATGATGATGGGGTAGTGCTTTTGTTATTGCTTGAATTTTGATGTTGCACAGTATCTATAAGGAATTGTGCATAATACCTATCCAAATACCTATTAGGGTGTTGCACACTCCTTTTGATACAATATAATTAGACTGCTGGTAGACTTACTGAATTGAATGAATTAGACATTCATGATAGCCTTAATTTGTTTTTGAGAAACGACTTTGGGCGGTGGGAGTTTCTTTAATAACTCTTTTTTATACGCTGAGATTTGTAGGTTGGAAAGGATTCAGAAAGGTCTGAATCGGAGGAAGATCACTCAAAGCGAAAACGTAGTCGAAAAGGAGCAGGATTAAAGATATATAAAAAACAGGTGCATTATGTACATTTTTGGTAATTTGTGCATTGATATCGGGTAATGGCGTTCTCTGAGTGATTAGAATACTCATCTGGATGCATTGAAATGGCTTATATATTCGCTTATAATTAGATTTTTTTGGATCTTTGGTTAGATTCTTTCTCTTTTAAATCTTTACCATCCTTTTTTGGGAAGAGATCGGATCTTTCTCTGTTAAAATGATGGTTTTGCAGAAAAAGACGATGTCATTATCACTGGATGACGTATTTGGGACTTATTCCACGGATGACGAGTCCACGAAGCATTCCAAAGGCTCCATTGTTCCATCCTTATATAAGGAAAAGGATGAAAAAGAGAATGGTAAAAAAGCTATCACAAAAAGTGATGAAAATCAGAAATCAAAAAACGAGAAAGAGAAGATAGAGAATACTAAGCGTTTAACTTTAAAGAAAGAACGTAAAAAGGAAAAGCTGGACGAAAGCGATGGAGGCGAATCTGGTGCAGAAGGGAAAAAGGTATTGCCTTATTGACTTAGTTCCAGAGTTTTTTCTTTTCAAATTATTTTTCCTAACATGCATGTTTTTAAATATTTTTAATGTACTGTACAGTGATATATCACCATGATATGATCCCTCTGGTTTTGTTAGTTGGAGATGTGCAGATCTTTCGCTTCAAAATGTCACACTCGTCAGCATTGAGTGCCTGATTGAGGACTACCGTGAGGAAGGTGGTTTTATATGGGGTAGAACAGGAAATGTGGTTGAAATAAGATAACGAATGCGTAGCTTTACAACAGTAATTTAAATTTATAAAATTCTCAGATTTATGAATTTTGTTCTAGGTTGTCCCACGGAAGACGGAAAGCAAACAAATCTTCGAAAGATCGGTTGAAAGGAAGGTTACTGGTAGGAAGCGATTCGGCATAAGTGATGAAGTGAGTGAAGCTACTACCGTAAATACTGTACTTCCGGAGAAAAAAAAACAGAAAGCGGTATTCTTTTTTTTCTTGTGACTTGGGAAAAAGGAGAGAAATAGAACTCTCTGATTTCACAAACTAGTGCAGTCATGAAGTTATTGTTTACAATTGCTTAGGCTACTTAATTTTCCAAATTGTTCTTTGATTTATACGCTGATCTGAAATGATCTGCGTCTTCCTGGAGAATAGTTCTGATAAGGACGTTTTATCATTTCAGGAGAAATCTTTGGTTGTAATCTCAATGTTCCGAGAGGAAGATAAAAGGCTGTCTAAAGTGCAAGCGCCCATCACTCTCGAACAAAAGAGAAAAAGTCAAACGCCTGGAACTAGTAGACAATTTGAAAAGAAATTAGCGAAAAAATTAAAAAGAGAGCAGAAAGTATGTTTTTGAATTCTCCACTAGAAATAAATAATGCTTGTTTTGTGAAGTCAGCGGTGTCACGATGAAATTTGGTGCGAATGCTTCAAGTGTAAGGCCCGTTTCAATAGATCATTGAAGTCCATCGGTTCGTTTTTGGACTCTGATTAATGCATTTCGTTTTTGCTATAGGTAAGGGGGGAAAGGCGATTTCTTTAAATCGGTCTTATTGTTTTGATTTCTGAAATCATTCTCGTAATTAAACATAGGCGAAGGAAAATTCCTTTGCACATGTTTAGTGGGGAACTGGATGCATATCCTAAAGGACTAGAATTATTACTGAAATGGTTTTATATGTTTCAGGAACGACATGAAGAACAGAAACGAGAGGCAGCTGAGACAAAACAAAAAGATGAAAAATTACAAAATGAAACTCAGCGACAGAAAGTGAATAGAGCTGATAGTGGAAATAGTGATGGTGCTGGAGTGTCTGGTATTTCTAGTCTTAATGATCGAAACTCAGAAACAGTTGTTCAAAGTCATGAATCATCCAGCACCAAATGTGTTCGAAAAAGACATTTCAAAGCTGAAAGTGCGTATTTTTTTTTTGCACGCTTAAAATTCTTATGTCCCTAATTTCTGATTGAATTATCCTCTACCTTGAATTTAGATTCTGAAAAAGTGAAAAAGAGCAGAGAGGAGCCGAAATCACCGAAGACAGATGTATCTGAAACGATTTCTGATTCTTGTCAGGATTTGAAAAGGAAAGCTGTGGTAGTAGTGAAGCAGGAACCGTCAAATAAAGTTAGTTTTTACAAGTTGTTTGTTTTAGGTTTTCGTGGGGAGGAAACGATTGAGAACTTTTGAGGTATCAATATTTTGGGCATTAGAAAGTTTTTTATTATTATCTGCAATAATAAATGAAAACTAATACACTACTGTTGCGGCTGAATGTCTTGCAAAGCGAGGCCAATAAATGTTTTTTGTGAATTCGGCTAAATGGCTTTTACTTAAATTGCACTTTTTTCAGTCTCCCGAAAAAATTGCTGTGAATAATGTGAGAGATGATATATCCGGACCAGAAAGCAAAAGTGGTTCACCTTCTGATCGTAGGAATACAGCCCTTCATCTTCCGCAGTCGGTGAAAACGACGGTCCCATCTGTTATACCTGCTGTTGTAGAAGTGAAGCGCATTGTATGTAATATCCTAGCTAGTAATCATTTTAATCTTGAAGGCCTCTTCGTTCTATTTCTTTGCGCTATCACTGTTTTATTCTTCATTTGGAGGAAATTTTTTGACAACGAATGCAGATCTAGCTCAGTCGATGTGGAAAAGGAAAAGAGGATGAGGCGTGTCCTTTTTTTGTCAGATGAATTTTTATTTTGCAGGAAGTGGATTGTATTTCGGAAGAATGTGCAACGAATACAACTTTACACACCATGGCAAATGAATATCATTCACCCCGAAATAAATTACATGATGAATCAAATCGGTCCAGTAAGTATGGCTCAATGGAACAGAAGTTGGAAACCGATGGATCGTCAGTAGTAGCAGATAATATTGTTGTATCCAGACATTTCGTAAGTTGTTTGTTTGGTGTTTTCCCTTCTGCTTAGGTTTTTTAGCTTCATCGTTCGCAACTGCTGCGTTGTTACCAAATTCTCTTTTAAATTTAAAGCTGTGGTTACGTTTTCTCGCACTTAGAAAAGGTACCAGCGTTTTCTTGGTTTGAGGGTGGGGCAAGTACAGCATGGTTGTCGTAAGGCTCTTGGACAATGATGTTCACTTCTGTCTGTTCGAAGTTATAGTTGGTCTTGGTGAAAATTTGTCGGTATTGCATAGAAAGAAATACCACCATGAGGAATTCTATCATTGCGAAAATTTGAATGTTTCTTCTACTTTTTTCTTTTTATTTTTCTCATTTCATATTCTTTGCAGTAGCATTTTTTATTGGGCTGTGACTTCCTATCACTTTATTACATCTTCTCTAGTAGAATTCACTCCATTTATTCCAAAATATGCATGCAGTATGTTGTATTGTACCAACTAGGAAACGCTAGAGAATTTTTTTAAATTGTTGAAAGAACTGTGTAATGTAGCTCCCGATCAAATTTGGATAGGTTTTGGATGATCCTGTGATCTTCGCATCTAGCTGAATTATACTACTAAAATTCTCTCCTGCGCGGAAGTGTACAAGAATAAAGATTTTGATTTCGGGTTTATGTATTGACCTAATTTATGTTCATTTTTAACATTTAGAATAACATCGGACCCGTAAAATTAGGCATACATATCGTGAGAAATATTAGATTTGTCAGGGAAATATCGAAGATTTTTCAAGCGATTAAGGTTACTATGATAATGGGTAGAAGAGTGACATTTTTTTTCAATTGGATTATGTTTTGAGTGAGATAGATTCCGAAGCGAAGAACTTTCTGCTATTACACTGAGCTATTACAATGTATTACCGAGGAAATAGGATCAAAATGCTTCAAAGTGCATTCTGAAAAAGGATGTCTGCGATGTTTATGTACATTTCTTATAGAGGAAATTTTATCAAAAGCTGGGCTTTTTCTAAGATCTTTTGCATGCGTGCACGAATTTAACGTACATTGCGGGTATGTTGATGTGCTGCACTGTGTAATTTATCTGGGTTCTGGATAGTTGTCTCTCTAGACACTTTATAACTTTATTCTCAGCTCATTTTCTTAATTTTCATGCTATTCCTTATTCATATGCATGTATCACGTCAAACGCTATGGTGTGCGTAATGTTTGAAAACATTGAAAATTTTTTTTTTTCATGTCTGACAAATAAACATCTCACCTAAACAATGAATGATACTATAGATAAAGAAGTTATCGTAAATCATGTTGATGTGGTTTCTTTTGTTTTTTTCAAAGATTCATCAAAATCACTTTTGCAAAAGCACAAAACTAATGCTGCATTGATTCAAAACGCAAACCCCCAGTTTGCGTTGTACAATGATTTAATGTACAAATATAATAGAAACATGGGAAACACATATTTGCATTTATGTTATAGCCGGAAGAAGCGGATCTCGACCAAAATCGATTAAAGCAACAAGAACATCAGGAACTTTGCACATCCGATGATGAAGGAGGTGGAGGAGGAAATATTGATAGGAATGTCGTTGGTCGTAAAAACTCAGTATCCTCAACGAATAGCAGCGAAAGTGGTCAGACAAGTTTGTTATCAACATCATCGGCAAATCTGGAAACTCAACTGGAAGATGGCCCTGAGGATCAGGAGCAGCAGCAAATTTTAGAGTCAGAGAAGATCAGGATTTCGGGGTCTGTTGAAGTACTCAAGTCCGGTGGTATTTGTAGTACAGAGCAAGAATTTGTCGAAAAAACCGAAAATGAAGAGAAGCTATCTTCTAATGATATGGTGATACAGTTGTCAACTAGTGAACAAGTCATTGTACCAAATTCAGATGCTGAATGTTCTACTGATCCTATAGTTCATAGTGCGGATGTGGTAAATAATGCACTAACGAAGCAACAGCAGCAACCCCAAAATGTCGAAGGGTCGGGAGTAAGTATTCTGGATAGTGCGAATGATGTGGAATCTAACGGGAGTTTCGAGCTAATTGATGAAGGTCGAGTTGGTGATGTTGATTCGTTGCCGGATCAAGATATTGATGGTGATATTGGTAGTATGAGACAGCAACACTGCAGGGAATCCACGTATGAAGTCGGACATATCCAGAACGAAGCGGTGATGGAAGCAGAAGAGGAGCATGCGGATGATTCTGAATGTGTCGCTACCGTGCGAGCGCAAAATGATGTTCACGATGTGCAGGTCTGTGCATGCAAAAAAATTACCGCAAAGAATTTGTCTTTACATACGTAAATTTATGCACTAAGCAAGCATTTGCACTTTGTTGTCGACATTATACAGTTTAGGTTAACTAGCAGCAATTTTGAGGAGGTAGTGTGTTTTGTTAGATCTGTAGTTTTTTTATTGGTTCACAGAACACCTAGGGGCATTTTTTGCTCATTTTTTTTAGATTAAGGCTTGGCACGAGTCTCTGTAACTCTCAAAAAGTTGGGTCTAGTACATTATTTTACATATTTTATACGATTAATTTTTATTAAGCGTTAACTTCTACTACATTGTTTGTGCTGAGTCCCCAAGCGGGATATATGCATGAATTTTGAGTATTCTGATTCCATGAAATTCCGGCGGTAGCTGAGTTAACATCGTTCTAGTTGCTGCGTTACCCTTACCAAAACGTTTAGGCCAGTAGCGGTAGGTTCTGAAGGTTAGATATGCAGCTGTTGTTGACAGATGGTATTTATCTATTTTGCATATAAGTTAGTAGAGGACTGGATGGGGGTACTTCAGTCTAATTTGATTTAATGGAACCCAAAGTTGGATTTAAAAAAAAAAGTGATCGAAACAACGTTTATTTCCTTTGCAGGAAACGGAATTTGCCGTGCAGTCGATTGTTTTGGACGATAGTCGAAGTCAGCATAGCGGTGAAGATAGTAGCGCCGCTATGGATTATTTGAGTGAAGGCGTTGGTGGTTCAAATTCGAGACGTGGTAGCCTCAACGATTCAGCAACAATGGCCAATATGAATTTAAATGCGAATAAGCAGCAGGAGGAGAACAATTCACAACATAATGCAGATGACGGTAATGGTGACAGTATTACATCAAAATCAGCAGCGGATACTGAACGTCAGGTAATATATGAGTTGAAACAGTAACAAGCAAGGGTATAGAGCAGATCTTATCTTGTTTTTATAGTTTGGAGTTGGTTTCATTCAACAGATTTTTAGGTAAAGAGGTAGTTGCGACTGGTAAAGTTAGTCGTATAAGAAGAATAAATTTGCTACTTCTTTGTCTTTGGCTTGCAGGAAGTAGCAATTGTTTCACAACTTAAAACAAAATACTGAAAAGTAGGATAGGACATAACGTCGCTCTTCACTATATGGCTCTCTAATCAATTCTTTTGGAGTTGTATTTGGACAAGCTCTTATGCCTTTCTTCCGTTGCTATCAGCATTTCCCACGAGTTTTTCTTTTCCTGACTTAGCTCATTTTGATAATTTGTATGAACTAATCTAGGGTAAATAGCTTTGAAAATTCTTGGGGTCCATTTATATCGTCTTTTCTCAATGCGTTACTGTTGCGTCTGTCATGAGGTGTAAATAGCATATTTTAGATATTCTGTAGGAAATATCGTATCTAAAGAATTGTTGCAGGACATGCAATCGGAAGGTACTGACGATGGTAAAGGTAAAATGGACGTAGATAAGCGAAGTGATTCACATCTTGACGAGGTATCTTTCTAATGTAATTCAATACTTTGAGTACCAGTGCACCCATGCATAGATTCCATGTTTTATCACACTTTATATTGCACATCTTTCACTTTTACTTACATCTTTCCGCCGGCTACTGCGCAGCTTATTTACTTTCTTCTTTGTTTTTGGCTCAGGGAAGATTTTGTTTAACGCTTCGTGCTTCATTTATATCCCACTGCTTATTAACATAGTTAGGATAGTATAGCCGTACCAGTAATAGTGTTAAATTACAGTGCTGCTACTGGATGGATGCAACCGAGATGTTATCTACATTAGAATCTTCTGTGTAAAATTTCTATGATTTTCTCGACTCCCTGATTTGCTAGTGCTATTAGGTAGGGGGGATGGATTGAAAATGCTAGCATGAGTTTGGCGTTTTTCACTCTAAACGAAAATTTTTTAAAATCTCTTGTATGGAAATATAGCTTGCTTCAGTTTTTTTTCTTTTTTCTTTTTTTTTCAATGGAATTGTGATTGGCAAGCTGAACGAATGTTAATAGAACACGGTGCATGCGACCATCAGGTTTGCATCCGCAAGTGTATCCAGACGGCACTGTGAAAATTTTGCACACTTGTAGGTAATTGATGATGTAGTGGCCGGTGGGTATATGGAAGTAGATGCTGAGCAACTAATGCGTATAAACTCAAAGAAGGCAAAAGAGGAAGCGGTTTTACGAGCTGCGGCTGCATCTACACAGGGAAGCATTAACGCAAAAGTTATGCCATCGATAAGTTTCTCAAGAGATGCTGAAACATCGCAGTATGATTATCAAAATGCTGCTCAAGGATCGTCGCATATCCAACAGCAACAGTATGGAAGCAGTGGTTATCATGTGCAACAATCACAACAGCACCAGCAACCGCAAATGCCGCAGCAAATACCTTTGCAGCAGGTACAGTTATAGTATTTGGCGTCCTATCTTAGATCACTCGTATCTGTCGAATTTTGTGTTCCTCATAAGGTTAATAATGATACATCAGCATATTGAATACGATATTAGTTGGTCCTCTTGAATTTAAAATATTCAGTACCACATTATTCAGTCCATCTGCGGATGTAGCTTTTACCAGTTGGAATTGCTTGGTCTGAAAATGCGATTTTGCTGTAAGCTTGCTTGTTGATTTCTGAAAATATGTTATGCATGGATCGGCGAAATCCCAACCTCCTTTTTTGTAGGCCTTGTTATCCTATGTTGTTTAAAACAAAGTAAACCTGTTTGTTCTGAATGTCCCACTTTGATTGTATATCTTTGCAATGTCAAAGAAATTCATATACATATTTGGCACGTACAGATCAATAAGCATCCATGTGTTATTTATATTACATATTACATCTTTTCGTATGAATAATATCAATATCAGATTTGGTAGTGATTGGTCGCCAGTAATATTTCTTGTGGGAGGTGAAAGTTCTCGTCACTGATTCGTGGCACAATCGATAATGGCTTGTCTACTGTTCCGGTTTCTCAGTTTGGGTCTAGAGTATCCCAGTTGTACCAACTACGGATTCAGTTTTGCATTCATTTTTTTTGGATTTCGTTATCTAACTGTTTTTTCCAGGATCTTTTGTCGAAACCGCTTCAGCAGCAGCTGCAGCAAAATGTTATCCATGGTAATAGCCATGTGGTACTTCAGCAGCAACCACAACAGCAACAGCACATGGGTCAAGTTGTAATGCAACAACAGCAACATAGTCGCCTAACTTCTTATCAGCAATCACAATCGCAGATTATGAAAGTTCCCGAGACGACATATCTTCAGCCACAACATTTGCCACCCATCGAGCAGCGGGTACAGGGAACTACTGCGATATCGCAGCAGCAGCAACCACATCCGCTGCAGTCACAGAGTGTAACAACAGGAAGTTTGCCATCATATTATCCAGGTAGGAATGCTGTTCAGCATCCTGGTACAGCCAGCTTTGCCTCACCTCAGATGTCCCTTCAGCAGCAGCAGCAGCAGCAGCAGCATTTGTTCCTGCAGCAACAGCAAACCACGGACAACATGCAAAATATAACTAATACAGTAAGTACCGGTGCTGTCCATGCTGTTTCGCAGCTGCCTGATGTGTGCCAACAGGTTGTACAAACAGCGTCATCACAACAGCAAACAACGCAGTTGGTAGCTCAATCACATGTGCAGCATCAACAATCGATAAATTACGGTTCACCTATGATGACCGCCACATGTAATGCTGCAACAGTTGTAGCTGCACAGACTGTATCTACTGCATCTCGACAGCTAGATTTGAACAAACAAATAGGTTTATCAACAGCACCGTTCCAAGAATCGATCAGTAGCAGTCCTTATGATTTATATGCTAATCTACCGAGGAAACCATCATCCGGAGTAGTACAATCACAGCACCAACAGCAGGTAGTTTTTATCAACAGTGCTTCATATCTTTCACTCCATATCTTTCCACTGAAGTGGATCATATATTTCATATTGTAATATTATATTATACATTATTGTATTATGTTATTATATAGCATTATATTAACATTAATGTTGATATTAATATTTAGTATTGATATTAATATTTTTTAATATATTAATATTAATATTTAACATATTAATATTTGATATATTTAACATTAATATTAATATTTAATATATTAATATTAATGTTAATATATTATATACATTATATTATTTTATTTCATTA